CTCTATCAGGGCACAAAACAAATACGAAGTGGCCTCGGCCAAAAGACCTCTGATGGAAAGTTCTTTTAAGTCTTTCAGTTTTGCTGCTATAATGTCGACTTCATTTGTGTATGCAGACTTTGGTCTCTGCCTACAATCTTTGTTCCTCTTAAAGTTAAAGACGTCGACCTAGTTTCATGGTTCAGTAGGTTGGTTTTTTTAGAGTCAAATATCTTGCCAGGGTGTGCTTTGTATTCAACACTTTTGCCTATGTCGCTCAGTTCGCCACTGTCTCCATAATACGAGTATAGTTAAACAACATGGCACCCTTGAATTTTAGTTAACTGAAGTATTATTCAGGAACACCATTGACTAGCCTACAACTTAAAAATAGAGTATGAATGTTGTTTCCTTGGATACCACTTTGAAAGAGTGCCTTATTGACTTAGTTTGATTCTGTCTGCGGATACTGTTGAGTGGCATTTTTGTTTCCTTACTTCCTTAAGGGAAAACTCCCTGCCGCGGGTAAGTTAAGTAGGCCTATGAACATGTATGAAGAAGAAGTTGTCCATTCATTTTAAATGCTTTTGTTCAGCAAGAGACACGCACGACTGCACGTAAGTGTGCGCTTACGTGTGTACGGACGTACGAACGGACGTGTGTGTGTGTGTGTGTGTGTGTGTGTGTGTGTGTGTGTGTGTGTGTGTGTGTGTGTGTATGTGTATATGTGTGTGTATGTCTGTCTCTCTGCCTACCTGCCTATCTATCTATCTATCTATCTATCTATCTATCTATCTATCTATCTATCTATCTATCTAACTATCTATCTATCTATCTATCTATCTATCTATCTATCTATCTAACTATCTATCTATCTATCTATCTATCTATCTATCTATCTATCTATCTATCTATCTATCCATTCAGGGTTCGCCACTCATTGCCCAAAGATGTGGACTTCGACTACGCTCGCCGTCCTATGTGGCTGCACTTTACTGCTCACAGGACCTGGTTTTGCCAATGGTCAACTGGTCACCTCATTCTCTGGAACCTATCAGGGTTCTATTCTTACTGGTGACAACGGTCAGCAATACAACGCTTTTCGGGGAATCCCTTATGCGGAACCGCCCACTGGCGACTTGAGGTTCAAGAAAACTGTACCCAAAGCACCCTTTTTTGGTGAGGATATTTGAGATGAGTTGATTTTGGTTTTAATCGTTCGATTAATTCATGTGGCCATTGGTTGATTTCTTCCCGAATTATTTTACTTACATATCTTTGTTCTACAGGGGAAAAAAGTGTGAGATGTTGATTTTAAAGGTAAATGTTTCACTACCCTTTGGCACAATTTAGCTAATTTAGGGAGCCGGCTCCTTTGAACCCGCATGCCACATTCAGCACCGACTGAATTTGATACAACCTTTTGCATACTTTCAGTCAGACGGATGTATTTGTTAAAATTATTTCTACACCCGGGACCTCTTCTACGTGAAAAGGCGAAAAGTTTTTTTCTAATCATTCTCATACGGGCGCCAGCTGGGTGTTTGAAAGTTACATTTTTTTTATTTAATATCACAATATGTTTATGGATTTTGTCATCCAAATATCTCATAGACTTTTAGAAGAAAAGTTATATTTAAAAGAATTAAATAATATCATCCCTTTCCACTCTCTTGCTCTCTTTTTCTGCTAGAAAGCGTGTACGATGCCACGAAATTCGGGCCGTTCTGTATCCAAGGCTCCGCATGGGTTCCCATCGTTGGCCCAGGACAAGAGGACTGCCTCTACCTGAATGTCTACACTCCAACTTCCAAGCCAACGTCAGGCAAGCTTCGAAAGGTCAGAAAGGGAAATACCTGATGGGTGTGTTAATTGTTTAAAGTCGAAAGCTAATTCTCTGTTTCGTTGTTGCAGGTTTCAGTTGAAAATATGCATACGGTAGCATTTCATTTGGAAAAGGATGTTTAAAAAATTGTAATCGATAATTAGAATTTGTATTGCTCTAAATCCCGCTCAAAAGCAATTTTTATGCACTTTACAAATAAAGAAATAAAAATAATAAACGTATTTCAAGCTGCAAACATGTTTTCACAAAAATGCATTGAACAGGTTGAAGATTCATGAATGTGAACACACTTGACGTGTAGACAAGCAGATGTCTATGAAGCATATGGAAAACAAGAAAGAAAAATAAATATGCAGCGACAATTATGTACACATACATGCTTTTAAAAGGCAATGCATAATCAACGTATAAGCCTCATGGCAGGCATACAACAGTTACTAGTATATTAATGATTCATATAGTCATTCTCACGAGTTTGGAAACACCCATACTCATATGCATGCCTACTAGTGCGCCCCAGCACACACGCACGCACACACACACACACATACACACACACACACACACACATACACACACATACACACACACATACTCACACACATACACACATACACACACACTCACACACATACACACTTACACACACACTCACACACACACACTCACACACAT